CTCACCCAAGAACAAAACAAGGGAAGCCCGGGGCGTTGAGCGTATGTGTCGTTTGGCCAGGTTGCTCTCTGTCTGTCTGTCTCTCTGCCTTTCTCTCTCTCGCTCTCGCTCCGCGGCAACAAACGTCAATAGGCCGCTCGCGTACCTCGCCCCGGTTTTTCGCGTTTTGCTTTTTTGCAATGTGCGCGCCCGGCTGTTTGGGAAGGCGAGGGAGAGATAGAGAGAGACAGAGAGAGAGGGAGAGAGAGAGAGAGAGAGAGAGAGAGAGAGCAAAAGAGATACTGGGACTGAGGCAGAGATGTAGAGAACTAGAGAGATCATGGATTCAAGAAAACCCGTTGGAAAGCTACTTTAAAGGGACTGGAATGATTTAGATTCTTGTTTTGTTGCTTTTATCACTCTCTCTACCTCTCTCTCTCTCTCGGGCGCTCTCTCTCATGTCGAGCTCGCTCAAAAAGGAGCATCGCCGGGCCACTTTTAGCTCGAGGAACGGCTCTTTCTCCCCTGGCTGGGCTCTCTCTCTCTTTCTCTCTTCTTTTAGAATCACGTGTGGCCTGAGGGGGGCGGTCCTTCTCCTCTCCATCCACACCAACAGCACCATCGATTTGGACCGGCTAGAGTAGGAAATTTCTCCCGGGGCATTGAATCTGAGTGGAGGAAAGACACAAGAGGGACTGACTGAATGACTTGTATGGACCTTTAAAGGACAGAGGTTGTTAAAAGATATTACAGGAAGGTCATAAGAACATGTCGAATCTACGACTTCACGGTACCTTTAGAACTTGAAAATCGGTGGAAGAGAACGGAATGGAGCTCTTCGGAGAGCATGACAGCTTTTGTAGCGCGAGGTACTGACTTCGAAGGACTTTTAAAGTCCAAAATGGAGAGCCGAGGCCTTAAAGGGACTGAGACAGCTAGTTTAACGATTGCAGGAAGTGACTTCAATGCTCCTTTAAATGAGAGAGATAAAATGAGGCATCGATGAGAGAAACGGCTTCAGATTTTCGGCAAAGGCTTGAGCTTAGGCTTCACGTAACTTACAAGCGTAGCTTACTTAGCTTGTAAGGCTTAGGTTAGACTTAGGCTCCGGCTGTATCTCTCGCTCTCTCGCTCTCTCGCTCTCTCTCTCTCTCTCTCTCTCTTTCTCTCTCAGGTATTTTAACCATTTCTCCAATTCCAGGATCGATCTCCACCCCAAAAACAAGCGCCTCCGCGCTACACCTCGCAACGCAGGTGACAAACCGGCCGATTCACACACACAGCCACACAAATTCCTCCCCCCCAACTCTCTGTCCGTTTTTTAAGCCAAGGCGCGGGGTGAGGAAATTTGGATTGTCGGAGGCATCTCGTTCTCCTGCTCGTGCTCCTTCTCCTTCCGACCCGCATCGCTCAACCGATCGCCCTTGTCGAGCCTGCCATGTTCTCCCGCCAACTAGCCCCGGCTGATTGATCGTGGGAATGTCAAAAACTGAGGGGAGGCGGGTGACTACGCACCATTCCGCCTTGACGACAGCTGATAACGACACCTCTGGGTGCAAAAAAATGGGGGATGAGGGAGAGAGAGAGCGAGAGAGCGACAGAGAGAGAGAGAGAGTGAGAGAGAGAGATCCCTTGCTCCCAAACACTTCTGCTGTCCGGCAGCAAGTAGTGACAATGAGTGATTGTTGGTGGGAGGTGAGGGATTGATGGCAAACGTCATAAACTGCACCCAAACTACCGTAACCCGACTTAAAGGGGCGGTGACAGCAGAATTTAGTTATCTCTTTATGTTGTGCTCTCTCTCCATCTCTCGTTCTGTCTTTATCTCTCGCTATTGCTGTCTCTCTCTGTCACTCTCTATCTCCCCTTCACTCGCTCTCTTTCTCTCTCACAACCTCTCTACCTGTCCACTTTTTTAGGGCTGAGAGACAAGCTACCGTAACCTAAACTCGCTTTTTCATCCATAGTATTCGCACGGAATCGTCATCAGCTAGATATCTAGAGGTTTGCGAGCTACCGTAACCCGCAGCACCAGTCTTTTAGAAATAGCCCAATGAACACTTTTCAGCCCTCCTTCTCATCTTCCTCTTTTGGCTATCGCGGCATAGGGCCCAATTCCGGGGCCAAGGGCCCATCTTTCGTCTGAACGAGAGAGAGAGAGAGAGAGAGAGAGAGAGAGAGAGAGAGAGAGAGAGAGAGAAAGAGAGCGAGAGGGAGAGGGAGCGAGAGGGAGAGAGAGCCCATTGCCGACCCCGACACTAGCAGAACCGTGAAATAGCGGAGAATAGAGTCACAGACCTACACAAACCGGGGCCCCCCACCCCAAGCGCGAAAGCACAGAGGGCAAAGAGGGCCCTCCTGAAGACGGACGGAGTATATCGGAAAATTAGGGATGAAGAGGCAGCGGGGATAAAGTGGAGAGAGCTAGAGAGAGAGAGAGACCACCGTGGAGACAACAATTGAGAAGAAGGGCTCACTGGGCCACACGGATCGACGGACAGACAAACAGACGGGTTGTGGCCCTGGGGCCCCTCCTGAATTTCTTCTCATCCACGTTCTACTCACCGCTTCACACTCTGCCACATCACATGGAATTGGCCAATCGAAAAGAAGAGAAGTAGATGTGTGTGAGAGAGAGAGAGAGAGAGAGAGAGAGAGAGAGGGAGAGAGAGAGAAAACGACTATTTTGTTAAAGGAACCGTAAAGGCTGAGCAATAGGGAAGTCCACACGCCGGACAACTAGCAGCGATTTTTGGGGATCAGGAAAGCCAATTATCGTACCCAGTGTACGCTATAGTACGCAGATCATACGCAAGTTGACAGTGTTTTATGTGTAAAGCGGAAGAAAAATGCTTATTGATAGCCGCAGTACGCGAGAGTACGCTACAGTACGTTAGTACGAAAAATACGATTTAAGCCAAAATCTCAAGAATCCCAACATATTAGTTCGCAGGTACGTACGCAGTTCGAAGGCCGCTTCCGTTTGCATGTCGGTATTTTGGCTTGTCGGGATTTGGGCCTTTCAGATATTGGCTATCAGGGTTATGGCGCTGGAATTCGGAAGCTAGTTGCCGTATGATAGACGTAGTACGCAAGAGTACGTTACAGTCCGCAGGTACAGTACTTACCGTAGTTACAGTACGCCGATCTAGGGGCGAAATCACGCATTGTTATTCCCCCCAGATACACCAGTTCCCGGACTACGAGAGGCTACGCCCGGCTACAAACCACACCCGGCTACCGTACCCCCCGGGTGTCACTTGGATGGCATCACTTGTGCTATTCTCCCGTGATCGCTCAATGCGCCCTGGGGGATGGCATATTGGTGGGTTGTTGTTGGTAGTGGTAGGATGGGGGTGGATGGGTGACCCCTAAAGGGTCTCAATCTTTCGCAACCCCAATCCCCATGTCTGTCTGTCTGTATCTGTCTGTCTGTCTGTCTGTCTGTCTGTCTTTGGTGTATGTGCTGCCCCAAACAGGTGCCCTCCTCCCCCTCCTCCTCTTCCACTGCTAGCCAGAGGGGTCAACCCAGTACCACCACAAAAACCATCCTCCAGCCCCAACGCTCCCCACACTATCCCGTCGATAGCAAAAGATGGGTATTTTGGGAGCGACTAAAGGGACCGGCAAGTCGTGATCTGGTGCTTTTGCAGTAATGGGGGGAGGGTGAACTACTTTTATCAGAGTCTAAGGCTACCTAGTAGAGCCAAATTAAGTATTTTGACTCTGTCTTTACCGTTTTTTTCCGTACTCTGGTTGGATTTTTGGGTACTTTCTCGTTATCGGGGGGCGTTTTTAATAAGTCCAGAAATGGCTAGTAGCGTAGTAGCAAGTATTTTAATAAATTTTTTGAGAAAAATTTAACTATATTTAGCTCAAAAGTTTACTAAAAAAGTAGAACTCTTAAAATTCTTAGTTTTTTGTGCATTTTCTGTACTTTTCATAAAACTCGTAGAGTTTTTGGACTTTGGAATGTTAAAAACAAGTAGAAGCTTTTTTTATATATATGAGAAGATCGGATACTACGGAAAAAAGTTGATTGCTCCTGGTAGCCCCCCCACCGATAAGGCGAGAGACCCTCAAAAGCATGTTCATGTCCCTTTAAAGGCTAAAGCCATCCACGCTACTTTCTAAAGGAACTGTGAAGTTGGAATCTACAGTAATCGTTGGGAAAAATGGCGAACCTTTTCTAGAGCGACCTGGAAACGCTAAATTCTGATTTTAAAGGGGCCGGGAAGCGCGTGAATCCGACCCGACCCAGACACCCGGCCAAACATTTCGGGCTTTCCCCCTTGTTGTATGCGTATATGTTTGTTGGTGGACCCCCCAAAAACCACAACCGGACCCCATGGATGTTTTCTGTTCTCGAGGGGAGGGGGGAGGAGCGTTTCGTAGTGTGGCAGGCAGTGCCGTTGCACTTTGCCTATGACAATAACAACATACAGAGCGAGAGAGAGAGAGAGAGAGCAAGAGAGAGAGAGGGAGGGGGGAGGGAGAAAGGGAGAGAGAGACACCCCAGTCAAGCGGAGATCCGCAGGGAAAACTATGATATCTGTTTTTGTGGTGGCAAACTGGCAGGGATATTTGGGGAATTTCGAACGGCAGTCTGGCAGAGATTCTTTAGGAATTCATGGATACAGACAGAAAACTATAGATTTTTCCCGAGAGAGCGAGAGAGAGAGGAGAGAGAGAGAGAGAGAGAGTTTGAGAGAGAGAGAGAGAGAGAGAGAGAGAGAGAAAGAACGAGCGTAAAAACTAGTCTTAATTCACAATCTATCCCATACCTTCTCCAACGCCCAAACCTTTTAATGAAATGGGTCCCGCCTGGAAGGCCTGTAATCCACCCCGAAACCCCCGGATAATCCCCCAGTTCCCCGATTTCTTTCCATCCACCTGAGAGGTTACGGTAGTGCTGGAGGTGTAGTTTAGAAATTACAAAGGTATGGTGGTTGACATGCAAAATAAAAAGAATTGAAGGTGTCGACAGATTTTAAATACTAAAATATTTCGAAAAGTGCCTACCTGAGGCGCTCGGCGTTCTCCTCCTCGCGGCGCTGCTTCTTCTTGGCGTTGCGCTTCTGGCGCCGGAAGTGCTCGTGCCAGCGACCGATCCGCACTGGAAATGGTTTTTTACATTTTGACGTAATTTTGACCATTTTTTAGAGCTTAGAAACTTACGCGCCGCTTCTTTGGACAGATGCTTGCGCTGCTGATGACAGAGTGCGACGAGCTGCGCGCCAAGCTCCGTTGAGAAGCCCTCCTTGCTCGCGTTGTCGTAGACGGCCTGAGTAATCGCTTTTTTGACATTTTAATAATCCTTTTCGGTAAACTATCAATTAAAATATTAAAATTCAACGAATTAGCATTAGAAACAGCTTCTATGATATGTTAAGCTTAACACGTTGCCATTAATTTTATTTTCGAGAAATCGTAGAAATATCTATTTTTGTTTTGCCCAAAATTTGAAATTTGCCCTGCTTAAATACCTTCTAAAAAGTCCGATTATCGATTAATCGCATTAAAAATATCGAAAAAACGGTAAAAGCAATTTTTAAGGGACCAAAAGAATAAAAATTCTCATTATAGATTGTAACTTGTTATAAATAAAGGAAAACTCACCTGCAGCGCATCGAGTAAGTGGTTTTCAAAATGGGCGTTAAAGGCCCTGGGGTCATTGCACCACGAGATCAGCTCGCGGCAGCCGGTCATAAACCCCGCCGCATCCGTTAGTTGCTGAAATAAATTAATAGCACGTTATAAAGATTCCAAAAGCATGGCAATTTGCCTACTTTGCAAAAACATCAAAAAATTATTAAAAAACTTCAATTTTGATCGAAAATAGGGTTTTGAGTCAAAAAACCCAGAGGTTCTGTACTTCTTGATGCGATTTTGTAAAATTTTGGACGCCTAGGAATAGCAAAACACAGCCAAGAAACACAATTTCAACCTAAATAAAAAATTAGAGCACAACGAAAAATTTATCTCCCCCCCCGATAATGCAAAAGTACCGAGAATAAAGCCATTTAAAAGCTTACCAGCGTGATGGTAGCCAGCCGATGGTTATTCGAAGCGATGTGCTGCTCCCATTGACGGGATTCATCGCCTTCCAACATTGTAAAATTATTTTAATTTAGACTATCCGCATCGAAGGGCCGAGGAAACTGAAAAATAAGGCAATTGATTACGCCATGAAAATCGAGGCAATTAGAAAACAAAAACTATTGATATTAAAAGCAGTAAAATAAAATTTAGGAATTGAATATTCGCAATCGATTACGCTATGAAAAGAACAACTGGAAAAGAAATTAAATTGATCGCCGGAAAGCGGGGCATTTGATAAGCAAAAGCAGGAAAACCTGGAATTGGGCAAGCGGGGCTGTGATAGAGAATGCGTCGTGAGGAATTTGCCGGAATCAGATAAGCAACGCGGCAATATATGGACAGAAATCAGAGAAAGAGCAGGCTAAAATATAGGTAGATAGCGAGGAAATTTCTCCCTTTGAAGTATTGACGCTAAGATTGGCGTAGGAAAATCATCGTACTGCTTCTGAACGCGCCATTTAGCGTTCAGTCTATAACCTTTACAGCCATTTTTCTAGTATAATTTAGGAGCTCGACTACGTTCCACTACTATCCGCACCAATACTATGTGCACTAAGAGGGTAGAAGGCGAAAATTGAAGGGAACGTCGAAATGCCGACAAGCTAAAATACCGACAGCCAAGATCCAGACAGGACAAAATCTCGATATAAACAATAGCAATTTAAAAAGACTGGCATTCAACCCAGGGTCAACAATATTTGGCTATTGGGTTTTTGTGTCGATATTTTGGCTGTCGGTATTTTGGTTGTCGAGATTTTGAGTGTCGAGATTATGGGTGGAATTCCTCGAAAATTGCACGAAATCAGCGCCAAAAAATTCCAGGCGCCACGAAATGACGGTGAAATTCTGACGGCGCCCCGTTACCGTTGCACAATAATATCAGGGTTCGCGTAACGGCTTGAGCATACAGATACGTATATAGAAGAACGGTAGAAGAGAGAAGCGGGCAAAAAACCAGTCCTGACAAGGGGGGTGAGTCAGCCATATACAGAAATGAAGCCCAGAGTATTCGTGTAGATTCGAAAATCGGCTGGGTTCCGGTTTCCGGGTAGCCGGATCGATGGTAGAAATCAAGAAAAGTTATAATTTATCATGTATGGCCAAACTTTAAAAAAAAGCGAATGATCGATAGAAAAAGGGCTGCTGCCGCAAAGCCGGAAAATCGGATCGACAAACAACCCGGAAATGGCGATTGGCAAGAGATGGAGCCAGATAAATCACGAGATCAATCACTCATTAAAATCCTCGGGTTCTGGGCAAAAAGCAAAATGTTGGGCACCGGAAGGGGGTCGAGCCCGGACTTTGCTGGTGAGAAGCAAACGCACAACCATTTAGCCACGCTGTTTAGCGTTTAGAAAACCAAAAAAATGTATTTTTTTATAGAATTTAACAAAAATCAGTTATTACAGTCCTGAAAATTACTAATTAGATTAGAATTTTTGGGAAAAAATAGGACTAATTACAAAATGTATAAAATAAAAGGTAACGAGGAAAATTTTGGGATTACAACCAAGCCTGTTAAGCAAAACGCTACTATCGACTATTCTCGTCAGATCACATGCGTTTTTCTTTGTACATCCTGGCCTCGAAAAAGGTTATGCAAACAGCCGAGGCTGGCCAAAATTTGGCGAAATTCAGATCCGCCAGCTTTCGATTGCCGAAAATACTTAAAAAAATTAAATGGCTAGAAAATTCTCAAAATTCAGCAAAAACTAGAATATAACTAGAAGTTCTAAAGATTAAGCTATTTTAGTGCACCTTGGGTTAATTTAGACAATTGGCAAGTTTCCAAAATCTCTGAATTACACGAAAACGACGCAAAATCGATTTTCAAGCAAATTTTTGAGGATTGCAAGTTCCAAATAGGATTTGTAACGTAAAAGAAGCAACAAAAAGTTCAATATCACATAAAAATTAAGTAGAAAAACTCAGAAGAAGGCATAGAGCTACGTAAATCGTAAAAATACACAATTTTCCGCAAAATTAACGTGGGAAATAACATGACATAATCGATTAGCGATTGAAAAAAGTAGAAAAGGTAGACTCAATAGGAACATCCCCATATCTATTTTATCGATGCGCAAATGCAGAGAAATATTTTCCTAGGAGTTGCGCATCCACAAAAAACCGGTTGGAGACGAAGGCAGCAACCGAAAATATAGCTGAAGAAGTAAACAAAATGGGAATAAAAAGCGTGAAAAATGGTAACTCTCTATCTCTCTCTCTCTCTTTCACTCTCTCTCTACCTCTCTTTCTCTCTAACTTTCCGCTACGCCACTAACAACGTTCCTACCGAATCCTCACCCCCCAAAAACCGTGGACACCTCCCAAACAATGGCCGGTGCTTTTCGTCGGTTAGAAGGAAGAGGGGAAAAGGATAAGGAGAAGCTGGAGAAGAGGAGGAAGAGGAAAAGCTGTTGAAGGAACCCGATCGGATAGAGGGAGAAGCTCCTCCCCACCCGAAAACCATCAGCATCATCATCCCCGCACGCAGCCGCAAATAGACCCATCAATCAAAAATATCTCCCCCCACGACCACCATCATTCCATATAGGGGAGCCAGCGATCAATGGGATTCGATCCGTTTAAAGGAGCTAGCAAGCGGGAGAATCGACCCGGAGATTTGCCTGGGTCTCGACAGCTACGAGAAACGCCAAATGACGCTCGCCAAATAATTTTTAAGCATTGTTGGTCAAGCGCGTAGCTATCTAGACCTAGAGAATGGTAAAGGGTAGATTCTCGCAATCGTAGGTCGCTTTAAGGAAGCTAAAAAGTCGGAATCGACCCCCCAATATGTGGCTAGATCTCGACAACTACACGAGGCGCCAACTGACGCTTTTGAAGCGTTGTTGGTCTCCGGCGTAGTCATCTAGATACAGCAAAAGCAACTCTTCGTTTTTGTGCTTCTTAGTCCCTTTAAATCAGCCGAGAAGCCCCAGTATTTACCCCCAAATTTGGCTAGGGCTAGGCAGCTACGTGACGTGCCATCACAAAAACGGCCCAAACCCGCGCCGGGAATCGAACCAGGACCCCGCGCCCGGCAGCCAAACCCGAAACCAATCAACTAAATGTCACATTAGCATCCCTCGAAGGGAGTACGGTAATAATATGTGGGCCAGGGCCGATGAGTAAGCCATCGGGGTTGAGGAGGCATTGTAGGCACATGAGGGACCAGAGGGAGGGCCGGGAAGGAAACCGGTTCTATCCCTCTCACTCTCTCGACGCTCTCTCACTTTCTCTCTCTCCCTCTCTCTCTCTCGCTGCCTATATGACATGCCTTTCCCCGGGAGGAATATCGACGATTTGGAACGGTGCCAAAGGAGAGAAAATCGCCGGGGCATCAACCGGTGAAAATGAAAGTTGAAAGAAGAATTTTCGCGGGGTTTTAGCTTATTTTAAAGGGGCTGGGAAGTTCACCAGATTTAGCGAATTTCTAAAAAACCGGAAGGACCAAATTGAAGGCAAAAGCTGAAGCTAAAATCGGCAAATCCAGCCCGTATCGGCATTTTAAGGGGTTCGGGAGCTCAGGAATTTACAGTGTAGACAGTTGGCAAGGCGCCAAAAACCCCTAATGTAATGTTTAAAGGACCATTTACGCCTAATTTGATCTCTAAAATCCACCAAACCAGAATTTTTCGGCGTTTTAAAGGGATCGAGAAGTCAGTCATGTAATTTAGACTTCTGGCAAAGCGCCAAACTTGCAAAAATGCCTAAAGGGCCATCGAAGGCAAAACGATGACTCGACATTCTATTAAAACTGGAATTCGCGATTTTTAAAGCGACCTGAAGTTCAAGTTTGTGAAGGTCAGAGCCCTGACCCCTTGGCAAGGCATCAAAAACGGCTAAAGGACCATTGGAGGCAACAGCTGATCCTACAATCAACAGACTTTGCGAAATTTTAAAGGGGCCAGGAAGTGAGAAGTGAGGAAGAGAGTGTGGTAGTTTAGACTCTTGGCAAAGAGCCAAGACTCCAAAACTCTAGACTAGAATATGAGAGTATCGAGTACTAGAAGACTACGCGAAAATCCGCCTTTCCGAGATTCCGGTAGGCAATTAAACAGCGGAAATTTGTAGCGTGGCCAGGCCTTACTTTTTTGCTGCCGTTTTCCGTGAATTTGCTCGCCTTTTTCGGCCGGATGAGGTGGCTACAAAAGCTTGAAATCTCAAAAAATTTCTCCAAAATTCGAAAGTACGGTCGTTTTGGTCCAGCTACGGTATAGAGGGCAAATTTTAGGCAAAATCGGGTGAAATAAAATTAGCTTTAGGGCAGAAATTTGAGAGGATAGAGCTTGACAATGAGAATCTATTAGGCTATTTTAAACGTATAGAAAATAGTGAAAGTAGCAAAAAAAATGCGGATTTGGAGGGGGTCTTTGTTTAGGTAGCAATGCCCGGGGGCGGTCAACCGTGAATAAATGGGTATTATTGGAATTCGGATTAACGATTATAGAAATGAGGAAAGTACAGCGAGGCAAGCTAGCAGTGACTATTTGAGGATTTTTCAACAGAACTTGAGGATTGAAACGAAGTAAAATTGTGGAACAACGAAAGGATTTCCACGGGCCAGCTAGCAGTGATTATTTAAGAAATTCGGAGCGACATGAAGAAGTCCAGACGACAGAGTACGGTACAAAACTACAACACACCAATAACCGCAATCTAAAGGATTTCAGGATTGCGGCGTCCGCTAGCAAAATCCCAGACGAGCCTGAATGCGCAAAAATCGAAAGCTGGTGCTCATCGTGGGGTGTGTGTGGTGATTGAAGGAAAGTCTCGGAGTGGTGAGAGAGAGAGAGAGAGAGAGAGAGAGAGAGAGAGATGGATCGGGAAGATAAAGGGCGGAGAAAGCGGGCAGCAGGTGTGGAATTTTGAGAAAATTGGGTGGACGGCACCAAAATCGAAGTGAAAATCCACAACGAGCCATGTTTTAAGGCTATGCTCCATTAATAGAATTAAATTCCGGTAGGGTTGAGCAGAAAGAAGGTTGAGAATATTAATGATACCTGTTATA